CCCCCCCCCCCGGGGAAACTGATCTCTGTAGACTGGAAATGAGCTGTAATTCCAGGGGATACCCAGGTCCCACCTGGAGGCTGGCATCAGTGTTCCCTCTAAGCTGAATGAGTGTGAGCTAGCTCACAGTTTTTTAGCCTCCGGCTCACACATTTTTGCCATAGCTCAGGAAGGAGGGCTCCAGTCCAGAGCAAACTAATTTACGCAACAGCCCAATCGCTCATTCACAACTTTAATGCCAGTAGCACCACACCACAGTAGCACCACACCTTAAAAAGGATATTATAGCTTTGGAAAAAGTGCAGAAAAGGGCCACTCGAATGATAAAAGGGTTGGAACACTTTCCCTATGAGGAAAGGTTAAAGCGCTTAGGGCTCTTTAGCTTGGAGAAAAGACGACTGAGGGGTGACATGATCGAGGTTTATAAGATTATGCATGGGAAAGAGCAGGTAAAGAAAGAGGTACTTTTCTCCCTTTCTCACAATACAAGAACTCGTGGGCACTCCATGAAATCGCTGAGGAGTCGGGTTAGAACGGATAAAAGGAAGTACTTCTTCACCCAAAGAGTGATGAACACATGGAATTCACTGCCACATTCTACCAAAAAGGAGAGTGTTTGGGTTTCTCTGTGAATTTGAGGACAGGAACTGGCACTGAAGTGAGATTGGAAAAGAGTGTGTGGCTTTCTGGAAACCCTTGTGCTCCAGGAATAAATATGCTACAATACAGTTTGTTAGTCTTAAAGGGGCTACTGAGCTTCTTACTGTTTTGTATGTTATGGCAGTGATATGAGAGCCAACTGAGCTGTGGGTCCATCTCATGCTACTGACAGTAGTTACACATTGGGCCCTGCCCAAATGGTTCTGGGCATTAAAGCGCACTTGCCCTGTGGTGATGGAAGGTGCTAGCAAGTCATAGCCAACTCATGGTAACCCTGTAGGGTTTTCAAGGCAAGAGACATTCAAGGATGATTTGCCATTGCCCGACTCTGCATCATGTCCCTGGTATTCCTTGGAGGTCTCCCATCCAAATACTACTCAGAGCTGACCCTGCTTAGCTTCCAACCCCTCCAGGGTTGGTGCCGCATTACTCAAAAAAACCCCTCCCCAATGTACTCATAGCTGTTGTAGCCAGCAAGTTTTCCATACCTCCTGGGATGCTCAAGGCTTTGTGTATAAATTCCGCCGCAGGGTAGAAATACGGACTCAGGTCAAAATTCGGAAGGTCATGGGCTGGTACTCCATAATATTCAATGCTGGGACCATAGAAGCCATGGGATCCTTTGCAAAATATCATGCCATGGGCCGCATTTAAAACATGGCTAATGCCCATCTTCCATAAGCCAAACCTGTTGTGGGCTGTAACACTAAAGGAAAGACAGGGAGAAGGTAAGAGGCCCATTTTGCAGGCTAGGTTTCCCTTCGTGGCCCCTTTCAAGGACATGAAGTCCCGATCCGTTCATACTCTAGGAGGAAAATACGCCAGATTGCTAACATGAGAATTAGAATTCTGCATTAAATTATGTCAGGAAGTAGGGAAATATATTTAATTGATTGACTGATTAGTTGCTGTAGATTTTCCGGGATGTGTGGCCGTGGTCTTGGCATTGTAGAATCTGATGTTTTGCCAGTAACTGTGACTGGCAGCCTCAGAGGTATAAACACAGAAAGATCAAATACTCTCTGTGTCAAGGTGAGAAGAAAATTTGTTGTTGTTCAGTCACACAGTCGGGAAGAAGTAGATTGGATTTATACCCCGCCCTTCACAACCCAGTTTGGTGTCGTGGTTAAGTGCGCGGACTCTAATCTGGGAGAACCGGGTTTGATTCCCCACTCCTCCACTTGCACCTGGCTGGATGACCTTGGGCAAGCCATAACTCTGGCACAGCTGTTCTTGAAAAAGAGCAGTTTCTGTTAAGAGCTCTCTCAGCCCCACCTACCTCACAGGGTGTCTGTTGTGGGGAGGGGAAGGGAAAGGAGTTTATAAGCCGCTCTGAGACACCTTTGGGTAGTGAAGGGCGGGGTATAAATCCAATCTCTTCTTCTTCAAAGGAGTCTCAGAGGGGCTTACAAACTCCTTTCCCTTCCCCTCCCCACAACAGACACCCTGTGAGGTCGGTGGGGCTGAGAGAGCTCTGACAGAAACTGTGGCGTAGTACTGAAATGCTGGATTCTGAATGGGTTCATATCTCCTTTGGACTTGAAGCTCATTGGAGCCAGTCATCCTCCCCCCCCCCAATCTGTCCTACCTTTCAACGTTCTTCTGAAGATCAAATGGAGTAGTGGTGAATCTTGGGTTGGATCCTACAGCACTTTTCAACTACAAATGGCATTCCCCACTGGTGTGGGGCTGTCGACCCAGGTTGAGAAACCCCTGGAAATTAGGGGTGGAGCCCAGGGAGGGTGGCATTTGGGAAAGGGGGGGGGGATATCAGCAGTATGTAACACCATAGAGTCTGTCCTCCAAAGGAGCCGTTTCCACAAGAAGACCCTGCTACTGCAGTCTGAAGGCCAGTTGTCATTCCAGGGGAGCTCCAGGCCCTACCGGGAGATTGGCAACCCAACTGTGGCGCAAAGAGCCATGTTCTAGCACAAGCTGTCAAATTGGTGGTTAAATCAGTTCTCAACAGCAGCCAGTCTGAAGAAAACGAGCTTTATTGAGATAGGTGATAGATACCATTCTGGACACGTCTGTGTTAGAACTAAAGATTAGCACGCGCAGGTTACAGATATAGTGGTTTCAAACAGCAGGAATAAAAGATCAGGAACCAATCACATCACGGTATTTTACCTGTCAGAACTACCCCCCCCACACACTAAACACATATTCCTCACGGAGCATCCCTCCCGCCAGAACTAAGAGTTGCTTATCCCCCCCTCCAAATGTAGCCTCTATCTACCAAGAAAACCTAAGAGCAAACAAGTAAGAGCTTTGGTGGCTCAAGTGGTTAAGACGCTGAACTGCAGGCTGTGGAAGGTCAGTAGTTCAGCAGTTCGAGACCCGAGTGTGCCGCATGACGGAGTGAGCTCCCATCTCTAGTTCCAGCTCCTGCCAACCTAGCAGTTAGAAAGCAAGAAATTGCAAGTAGATAAATAGGGACCATTTTGGTGGGAGGAAGGTAACAGCGGTTCTGTGTGCCTTGGTGTTTATTCATGCCGGCCACATGACCACGGAAACGTCTTCGGACAGCGCTGGCTCTCCGGCTTTGAAACGGAGATGAGCACCGCAACCCCAGAGTCGGATTCGACTGGCTTTCGATCAAGGGAACCTTTACCTTTACTTTAAGATGCTGGGACATTTGGCTCCACTATGGTGTCAACTCTGGATACATCAAAGAGAGGGGGACCCCCCCCCCTTCTCCATGGCAGGCGAGCTGTAAAATCCAGAGAGAGTCTGACCGTTGCTTACACAGAAGAGTGCTATTAACTCTATTGCTGTCTTGAGCTCTCTGGCGGAAGGATGGAATGCATTGCAACAAACGAATAAGTTCAGGTGGGGGCAGCCATGTTGAAGCCACAGAACAGATTTTGAGTCCAGACTGGGCACCTTGAAGACCAACAAAGTTTGATTCTGGGTACAGGTGCCACTAGACCTCAACAAATAAATAAGATATACTTACAGGTCTCCTAAGAAGAGGTTTGGCCACACTTCATCAACATGGTTACAGGAGGGTCTCCCAGTGTTCAAGAGCTCTTCCAGCTCTTTCACAGTAGGGGTCCCAGGGAGGCCTGGGCTGGAGCATTCAGGGTCTGCGGAGGGCAGCGTGTCTTCGTCAGCCATCACGAGGGCAGCAGCCAGCCGCTCTCTGTCCTCTGCAACCTGAGAAAGGGGCCCAGGCCTGCGTGTTCACTGGGCGGTCCGGAGACTCTCCGGCTGTCCTTGTGGATTGATTGTAGACCAGTCAGAACAGGTGCTGGCGGGCAGGAGGGAAGGGAGGGGAGTGGGGAAAAAGTGGTCCCAGAAGGAGAGGCACCGTTCAGTGATGACCATCCTTGCACATGAAAGGCTAAGAAACGGAGAGCAATGAGGCTGGGAGCCGTGTGCCACATCTCTTCTCCTGAGCAGATTCCCTGCTCTGAGCCAAAACCTTTAAAAAAAAAAAAAAGGTCTCCCTGTAGCAAGATGCCAAGATCCCGAGGTCTGGCCTGCTTCCTTTCCCCATCAGGGGCTGCAAAGCTGGGTGCAGGGAGTCCTAACGCAGGGGAGGGGGGTTTCTGTAGTCAGATCCTCTTCCAACCAAAGAATGTAGACTCATAGAATCAGAAAGTTGGAAGGGACATCCAAGGTCATCTAATCTAACCCCCTGCACAATGCAGGAAATTCACAAATACCCCCCCCCAATGACACCTGCTCTATGCCCAGAAGCTACAGGCCAGGTCATTCAACTGCCCTCTCATCCTTACAGTTTCCCAGGTGAACCAGGTAACAGTCCTGAGAACCCTTGAGGGGATTGAGGAATATTAGAGACAAGCCTTTTGGCTGTGGAACAAAAAACAGTTCTGCCTCTAGATTCGAACCATGCAGATCAGAGGATCGGGGATATGAAACAGTTTGAGCCAAGCCATTCCGGTGAGATGGTAACCGTGGTGAAGAGTAAAGGGATTGTGATGTCACTGGGCCTTATCCAGCCTCCTACTTGGCTCATTCATTGGGAGTCTGCTCTGTATTTCTTTCTGGTCCAGATTGCTCACCAGTGAAGCCAACTGGCCAGGTAAATTGCAGGAGAACATCAACTTCGATATAGAAGGGCAGGCTGGAGCCAGGAATTGAAGGAAGGGAGCAAGGATTCAGTAGCTTGTTACCAGGGCAGCATTGTGACTTTTATGGGCCCCTCCCACCATAAGAATATCAATATTATAAACTGTTTTTGATATAACTTTAAATACTTCAACAGTTTATTTCCCTCCCTTGTTTTAGACAAAATTTAATAGATTTTTGTGTGGGCCAGAATTTCATTTTTTTCTGGTGTTAGAAAAAAATTCAAACATTTTCTTCGACTCTAAGAGTTAATTTTTTCCCTTCTGATTATAAAAGAAATTAAAACATCTTTGTGGCCCCCTAAAAGTCTTGCGGGCCCTAGGTACTGTGCCTAATGGATAAGTCGGCCCTGCCTGTTATGAGTGAATGTTAGAACTCGGTTCCCCTTTGATTCTCGTTTGGTACAAGATGACAAGTTCAGGCTACCCCTGCCTGGCCCGTTTGCTTGAAAGGACAGAGGACTGGAGAGGCAGAGAAAGAAAACCTTCATGTGTGCAATGTCTGTGTTGAGAGGGAATGGTAGTGAAAGCAACGCCCTGAGGGTGCCAAGGTTCTTTGACTTCTGTGGCTAGCCAATAAACCACACAGTGACATAAATGATTTCAGGCAATAAAGAGTAACAAAAGGATTTATTCAAATAAGGAACAACTCACAGCTAAGAATTCAGTGTGGCTGTTCAGTGAGCAAATACAGGGAGCAGACTTATATAGTCTTCTTGCTCCTCCGAACTTTACATCATTGTTGACATCATTTACACATGCTCAGTTTGATTCTGTCTGGTCAATCATCAATCACATATTTGACAAACAGGATGTTACTTGGCCGCATCTCAACTCTACAATGCAGGTGCTTTGCTCATTAAAATTGATTTATATGTGTGTTTACTTTTTTGGCTGCCTACTTAGACTCCTTCACCTTTGAATTAACTCTCAGGCTGAGTTCATTTTCAGTACAAAACTTAGATGTTTTCACTACAAATTTGGTTTTCTTATATTTATACAGGCATATGTTATGAAAACACCCTTACTGCCATTTTGTGATCTATCTCTATTTAAAAAAAATATATGGATACATAGAATTTCTGGAAAAATACAGTATTATGGCACTTTTTTCAAAATTAAACTCTTTATATACACTTTATAAAGTGGCCTATGGCATAAAGCTTCTGTAAATACATTGAATTACACATTCTTCATTTTTGGTTCATCAGGGAATTTTTATAGAATAAACCTTTACATTTCCTTATTTCATCAAGATATGTTATTTTAACCAGTAGGGGTCACCGTTATATAAGTTCTGCATTCCTAATTGACCCTTATAATTAGCTTCTTTAACTGACAAATGCCCATGCTTAACATATTTGGTTCTTGGCTGACTTTCCACACACAGCTTTTGGAACACCTTCCAACTTTCGTTCGTTAAAATAATGCTTAGTCGTTTCACAACTATGCATCAGCAAAGCCTTTTTATTTTAAGAATATAGTCTTAATATATATTGAGCTATTTCTTGGTTTATACCATAATCTTAGTAAATATTCAAAATATAAAGTTGTGTTTTTACTGTTTTTAGAAACACATAGCAAGTCAGAAGAGGGATTATTCTCTCTATTCCAATACAATTACCCTCTTGTTCACCTCAATTAGAACTTTCTAAAAACATCTTGACCAATTATTTCTAATTCTCTTTGAGGCAAGGGATTTCCCCATAAATCTGTAACTTTGACAATTAATTATAAAATTCCCTTTCTCATGGGGAATTTATCAGCTCAGTTCATTTAAGTGTATAACTGTCTCAAACAAAGTCTTTCCTATTTAATATAATAAGCTGCAAAAGGCATTGCAAAAGGCATTGCTTATAAATTCCTTTAAGATTTCCACTAACTCAATATTTAAAGCATTTTAAACTGTAAAGGAGAGTTTAGTTTAAAGTTTCTTCAAAGCTACTAATAAACTTCTGACCTCATCTCTTTGAAGCAGAGAGGTTCTCATAAATCTTGAGCTTTGACAATTTATTATTGTGCCATTCCAATTAAAAAGGCTGATGCATTAAAAAAACTCCTTTGTTGTTAATTAAATTTGATTTAGAACACTTGTTTACTACTAGTAGTAAGTTTATTACGATCTAAGATCAAAAAAATAATAACCACAGTAATCAGACATTCCAATGGTTATATTACATAAATCACATAAATTACATTACACTAGTAAACGTAATGCTAGTTAAAATTAGTTAAAATGCACCCTATTCTTCTGTCTAATTCAGTAAACCTGAACAAAAATCTCCTACTTTGAAGGTAATATCTTTATGAATTAAATTCAGGGCTCTTTTTGTAGCAGGAACTCCTTTGCATATTAGGCGACACACCCCTAATGTGGCCAATCCTCCAAGAGCTTACAGAGCTCTTCTTACAGTGGCTACTGTAAGCTCTTGGAGGGTTCTATTCAAATTTACATAGTGGGGGGAAATAAAGAAGCAAAATATATATTTAGATAATGTATGAGGTAACGTAACAGCTAAAATAACGAGGTAAATGGAAACTCCAACCTATATGTATGCATGCATGTATGTTTGTTTTTGGTGTGTGTTGTTTTTTTATAAAAAATAAAATTGTTTTTCAAATAAAATAACGAGGAGGCCTTCGGCTGTCCCCCCTAGGCTGTTCTTCTGATCTCCTTCAAATAGGTGCGTCGTGGACTTTGGACATTCCAACACTGAGAAGCGACGAGTATCTGTGAAGAGGGAAGAGGGCTGCCAGCTCCAGGTTGGGAAATACTTGGGAGATTTGGGGAGTCGAGCCTGGGGAGGGCCGGGCTTGGGGGAGGGGAGGGGCTGCAATAGGGCAGGGCGTCATAGAGCCCCCACTCTCCTTAGTGGCCATTTCCTCCAAGTGAACTGATCTCTGTGGTCTGGAAATCAGTTGTAATCCAGACACCACCTGCAAGCTGGCCACCCTAATAGGGAAATGAGGGCAGGGCTTGGGGTTCACAGACAGGAAGGGACAGGAAGAGGGGGCTGAGGAGGAATTCTCAACATCCCTACTATGAACTAAGGCAGGGTAGAGGAGGAGGACAAAATCTCCTTCTGAGCCCAGAGGAACCAGAGGGTGACACGACAACCACCAGACTCACACCCTAGCCGCCTCTCGCCCTTCACAAAGAAACGGTGGGGAGTCCCCTCCAGGGTTGGTGCCGCATTACTCAACCTCTCCCCCCCCCCACCAACGTACTCATAGCTGTTGTAGCCAGCAAGTTTTCCATACCTCCTGGGATGCTCAAGGCTCTGTGTATAAATTCCGCCGCAGGGTAGAAATACGGACTCAGGTCAAAATTCGGAAGGTCACGGGCTGGTACTCCATAATATTCGATGCCATGGGATCCTTTGCAAAAGATCATGCCATGGGCCGCATTTAAAATGGGGCTAATGCCCATCTTCCGTAAGCCAAACCTGTTGCAGGCTGTAATGCTAGATAGGCACGCTGACCTTTCTTCCTGTCTTTACTCTTCTGCCAGTGCCCCCTTTGAAATGCAGGCTGTGTTCCCCGGGACCATCTCCCCTCCTTTCTCTTCTCTCTGAGTCCTGATGAAGACGATCTCTCTCCCTGCACACACCCAGGGAGACGCAGGCGAGGTCCTCTCTTGGCATCATGCCATCTGCTTCCATCCTTTCACTAGTAAGTTAGTACTTGATCCTGTCCCTGGTCTCTCCTATCCAAAGTGTACTTCTCAAATAAAGACAGGAGTATTTCTCTTCTAAACTTGCAACGTGGTTCTGTGTAACTTTGTAGGCCGAGTAAAGTGACGCTCCTGCATTTGTAGCTTTATTTAAGCATTTTGCTAACTAGTGGTGACTGGACTAGCCACACCAGTTAACCCCCACAGACATTCCATTCAGCTCTCCAGGTCCTTTTGCAGCCTGCAAACAGCATTCCTGGAGAGGGGCACATTAACCCTTTAAGGGAAATGAAGATTAAGAAGAAGAAGAGATTGGATTTATACCCCGCCCTTCACTTAGAGCGGCTGACAAACTCCTCTCCCTTCCCCTCCCAACAGACACCCTGTGAGGTGGGTGGGGCTGAGAGAGCTCTTGACAGAAACGGCTCTTTTTCAAGGACAGCTGTGCCAGAGCTTGTGACTGACCCAAGGTCACATCAGCAGGTGCAAGTGGAGGAGTGGGGAATCAAACCCGTTTCTCCCAGATTAGAGTCCGCACACTTAACCACTACACCAAACTGTGTGTGTGTGTGTGTGTGTGTGTGCTTCGCCTCACAAATGTAATAAGTAGGTAGCTCACAAAACTTTTTAAAAAATTGATAAATATGTCATCAGCGCAGAGCAGGAGAGCGCAGCATTCTTTTAGATTGTTTTCAAGTAACTGCCGTGCACAGAACTTTGTCCATTCTGTTCTGCCCCCCCCCCAACAGTTTCAACAGATGGTCTTCAAGTCCCTCTTACCCCCATCACAACTAGAAGCAAAACCCAAAGTCCTATCTGCCCACCCAAATCATATCTGCCTATCTTCACATTCACCTGCAGACTCTGGCTGAAGAAATAACCAAAGTAAAGTAACTCAGTTTATTAAAAATAATTTAGCGTTACATAGTCGAGAATATAGAGTACGGAAGGAAAGTGAGACACCACCTGCCTGCGAAGTTCGAAACATCAAACAACATTGTGGATTCTTTGTCGTGTACAAAGTGGCTCAAGGTCTTTCCGGGACCCTTGCGAGTGATGCTGGGAGGCCGTGGCCTTCCTTGGCTGACGACACGCTGACAGAGCACACCCCCACACACCTCCTCCTCCTCGCGCCTGCAGCCTCCACCAAAATACGGAAGAAAAGCAGCAGAGGAAAAGCCCTCTTCCCCCTCATCCCCCAGACTCAGGTCGCATATCTCAGCACTCTTAACACAGGCTTGGACAGCAGTGAGCAGCACCCTCGTCCCCGTTCCCACCCCAGCCCATTCTACAGTGAGGGCACAGAGAGGCATCGGCACAGTTTACGCATCCGGGCGCACAGCTGGCCACGCCCTACTGCCCTTTCTTCTCCTCTGAGACGTGGCCATTTAGACAGTGACCATTCAGATGCACTGGACTGACTTCTAGCCTCCTGTGCCTCCAGCATAGTCGGTACACAACCACCAAGGTGCCTACTACAATCAGGAACAGAACTGCCAAGATATCCAAGCAATAGTACTCATAGAAGGAAAGCCTGTAGAGGGATGGGCGGAGATACGGCGCTCCATCATGCCGAAGGGCATATTCCAGCCAATAGACGGTGCGGTTGAGGGGGGGCATCAGTGTGTCCAGGTGCAGTTCTGAGATCTTCTTGGCCGCCCTGCGGAAACTGCAAGACAGAAAGGCAACAGTCACACTGTCCACCCAAAGAGAACAAGTGTCAGAACCCACAGCCAACAACGTAGTACACACTTTCAGGAAAGGCAATACTTTATTGAAGAGCTCTAGCTGACCACAAGGCATCCTTCACGGATCACTCTGTGCCCAAATCCTGTCAGGACACCATTTCCAAAGTTCAGCTGCAGTTACTCAACACTTCTCAGCAACAGACCGAGAGGTCTTCTGAAGCCTCCACTGATTAGTAACCATCTAGCAACATAACTGAATAAAACTTTGTTGGTCCTTAAAGGTGCCACTGGACCCTAACTTTGTTTTGTTGCTTCAGACAAACACGGCTTCCCGGCCTGATCAACCCAGCAACATGACTTTTATTCCAGGCTGTGAGGCAAAGCACCCTTGTTTCCTCCCAAGGGTTAATCTGAATACTGATGGGCCTATTCAAGCTTGTAGATTTAGTTAGTTATTTCATCTGATTTTTAGGGTGCCCTTCCCTGCAAGCAGGGCTCAGGGCCGCTTACAACAATAGTAGATACAATAAATGAATCGAGTTAAAAACAATAAAATACATAACACACACATATATATATCAGCAAATAAAACAATCTGTTCCAAGATGGTGGGGAGATTTCAGCATCCACAGCTTCCTAGGGGAGTTGCGGAGGATGGGGGGGGGGGGAAGAGATGGCTAGACTACAAGTTGTCCCGTCGCTGTCCTCAACCCAATGCCTGGCGGAACATCTCTGTCTTCCATGCTCTGCGGAAAGGTAGCAAAGCCCACAGGGCGTTCTCCAGCAGAGAGTTCCACTGAGAGAGCCCCGGCCCTGGCGGAGGACTGCCAGCTCTCTCTCGAGTCGGGGACCACCAGGAGGTTCTTATTTCCCAAGTGTAGCACTCTTCTGGGGGCATACCGAGAGAGGCAGTTCCAGAGGTAAGTAGGTCCCTTAAAGGTCAAAACCAGCACCTTAAACTTGATCCAGTGCTCCACCAGAAGCCAGTGCAGGTTGCGCAGCACAGGAGGAATACGTGCCATCCGAGGAGTCCTTGGAAGGACCCACGCGGCCACACTCTGGATCAGGTGGAGCTTCCGGTTCAGCCTCAAGGGTTACAGTCGTCTATCCTGGAGGTGACCGTTACTGTGGCCAGGTCAGGGTGAGGCAGGTAGGGAGCCAGTCACTTCACCTGGTGTGGTTGCAAAAATGCCAGCATAGTGTCAAACCTTGCTTTGCTGCGCTTGCTTGGGTTGCCATGATGTTTGGGGGGAGGGCATTCCT